TTTCAGTGTAAAAATTCAATAACTGGATAAAATGTTGCTTTAAAATCCTTTCAGTTATCCTCAAAAACTGATAGTCTCAATTTTTGTGGTTTTTTTTAATGTTATGTTGGAGTTAGTATAGTCAAATTTATCAGAAAACAGTGCAAGTCTTCACTAGTTTGCTGCCATATGGTTCATTACCAGAAAAAAAGTGTGATCTTTCATTCTGTAAATCAGGGATTAATATACAAAAATAGCTATGTGTCCTCCTGATTTCATTGACATTACTCATACCAACTGAATAAGAACACAAGTTTCTGCAGAGGTTAGTACTCTGTTGCTAATAGGAAAGCATCTACTCTCTCATTCAGACTGTACCTAGTTGGCCATCGCAACTGCAGTGAAAGCAGCAAGGTTGAGTTTGGTGCACAGAGGGGTTACTTTTAAAGCAAAAGCGATTTTAAATATCTGAAAAGCAAAATTGCTATTAGAAACATAGAGGGTATTTTCTGTGTAACATTGCTTTTTTTTTTATTCGTAGTCGCTTGATGGCATTAAAAAGAATGGGAATTGTCAAAGACTACGAGGTAGGATTCTACCTGTAATGAAACATTACTTGCATTTTTTCCCTGGCAGGACCACTTTTGATATACTTGTCTGTATTTTATTTCTTTCTACAGAAAATCCGTACCTTTACAGTTGCAATAGTAGGTGTAGGTGGAGTTGGCAGTGTGACTGCTGAAATGTTGACAAGGTGTGGCATTGGTAAGGTAATGAGAGTTTTTTTTTTTTTATTCTACTTCTTTACAGTAAATGGACCAGTCCTTTTTATGAAGAGTTTGATTTGATTTCATTCAGTTGATTTGCCCAAATAAAAAGACTGTTGTGAAGAAAGCACTTGTGTAAATGTTGCACATGAAGAGTCTGTACTTTTCTTACACTAGTAAAATTGAAATCCTGTATCATGTGGATGATCCTTGCTTGGATTTTGGTCATCTCCGTACTCCTGTATGAGCCCATCTATCTAACCCTCATACTGGATTATTGCAAAAGGAGAACAAAACAAAGGAAAAGGACGAGATAGCTTGCATAGAAGATTAAGTCTTATAACAACAAGTTTACATTCACGAATTTGAAATGTGGCAGATGTCAAACAGATATTTTTATCACAAACATTAGGTTGTCACCTGGCAGACTTGAAGCTAAAAATTTAGCAGCAGTTAAAAATAATTTGATGTGTGTGTAGTGTGTATACGACTTTTCTTTAAAGAAGGAATTTGGAGAATGGCTCAAATGTTTGTATTTCCAGGCAAAGCCTGGCCATTTACTCTTAAAACTCTGACGAGTTTTTAAATACAGAAGTGATGCAATTTTTTATTGCAAAGTTTATTCCTCTGAAGGAGCCTTTTCAGAAGATCAGCATCTTAGGCATAGTTGATTCAGAATTTATAATAAAAAACATGTCCATGTACTATGTAGGTATTTTAAGAGAATTGTTTTTGAAAATCTGTATCCCAAGACAAGTGAAATAAATGGCACATTTTTAGTTAATGCCATAATAGCAAGTAGGAATGTGAAAATAGAGGTGATCATGCTCATGTAGATTAATCTGCTGAATAATCTTTGTTTAGATCAAATGAACAGATTGCTTATTATTAAGAGTAGTTTTCATAACATAACAAATTGGTTCCTGGTGAATGGGAGTTAGAATTGAGACTTCCATGCACTTACAAAATTGGCACTTTTTATATGTGAACTGAATGGCACTGCAGGGGTAGGGGGGTGTTTGCTTGGGGTGTTTTTTTGTTTGTTTGTTTTTTTTTTTTTTTTTTTTTTTTTTTTTTTTTTTTTTTTTTTTTTTTTT